TAACGAAACTACTAATAAGTTTTGATATAACGAAGCAAAACCTCCAGCTCCAGAGCTTCGTTATATCAAGGTTATACAGTACATAGTAAATCGCTCGGGAAAATTTTGCAATTTTTTCGGCTTTGAATTTCCTTGTCGTTTTACGTTACACCAAATTATCATCATCTATTGGATGGTTTCTGTAGACGCGTGAAGATTTTGGTGATGATAGCAATTGTTACTATGCTATACTCAACGGTTACACTATGTGTTTCAAAATTTTAAATGACTATAACTTTTTATCTAAGAGGTTTTAAAAAAATCCACCCGGTAACTTTATAAAGCTATATCGGCTTTACATATGTGTCAAATATCTTTCCAAAATCTCATCATTGTAAAGAGTTGATGCATTTTGAAAATTGAAATTTTATATGTAAATTTATAAATATATATATAAAATTTCAATTTTCAAAACGCATTAACTCTTTACAGTGATGATATTTTGAAAAGATATGTAGAGCTGATATAGCTCTATAAAGTTACCGGGTGGATTTTTTTAAACCTCTTAGATAAAAAGTTATAGTCATTTAAAATTTTGAAACACTTAGTGTAACCGTTGAGTATAGGCTTCCAGCACCATATATATATGAGTGCCGTCAAAGAAAACCTGCAATCGGGCTTTCAATTATATTTTGTGTATAGTTGGCCATCTATCGACAGTCTATCACAAAATATGATTGAAAGTCAACACGTGCTTATCAACACAGCAAATGACCAGCACTAACCTTAACGGCACAGCATGGCCAGCACTACAGTTAGGTTAGTGTTAGAATTAGGATTAGTTCACGTGTTTTGGTGTGTCGGTGCGCCCGCATATATATAAATTTTTTCTTCAGGCTGGCCCAATGCGCAAAATTTATTATTAAAATTTGAAAATTTTTAGGCCCGCTCAAGCCCGCAAAAATTTGCGGGCCGGGCTGTGGGACCCATTGCAGGCCTCTAATCTACAGCATCTTTTTTGATAGTTCTACAATGCACTCTAAATTGGGGTGGCGTTCTTGATGACGTAAAATTTAAATTTTTTCAAGAATTTGAGCAAAGATCTGTTTAACTTAATTCAATAATTTCTTTTATTTTGATTCTGCAGATCTGTAAAATAAAAATAAAAAAAATATTCATTGAATTTGGTTTAATGGTTGCTGAGGCAACTTTGCTCAAAATTTCCAAAAATTTTGTCGCGGTCATTGTTTTGATAGACTTTTAATACCTTTGAACGAAGATATCTAAGCAACCACTAGCCAAATATGGTGTTTTTTTTTTTATTTTAATTCAACAAATCTATAGAATCATAATAAAAAAAATTTATCGGATTTAGTTGGGTAGTTGCAGAGATATCTTTATAATATTTTGCGAGGCCATTACTTTGATAGATATTTTGTCGAAGATATTTCAGCAACCACCTAACCAAATTCAATGAATTTTTTTATTTTGATTCTACGGATTTGTAGAATCAAAATAAAAATATTGAATTAAGTTGAGCGGTAATCAAGATATCTTAAAAAAATTTAAATTTTAAAGAAAATCGATACTTTGCGTCGGTAGTAAAAAAGCATGACAAGTCAGGTGAACAGTCACATGTACAAGCTGGTTTATTTAGGGGATTGCTACAGACACAGCTTATCGACACAGCAAATGACCAGCACTAACCTTAACGACACAGCATGGCCTGCATTATAGTTAAGGTCAGTGTTAGAATATGGCAGAATTAGGGAATTATATCACGTGCTGCTGTGTCCCCTTTATTTATGGGACAGTATACACGTGATTTAGTGCACAACAATATGGCCAGCATTAAACTATTGACATAGCATGCCGGCATTAGAGTTAGGATTGGTGTTAGCGTTAAGGTATAGCAGAATTAGTCACGTGTATGCTGTGTCGGTATATCTTCCCTTATTTATTTATATAAATAACCAATAAGATTGCTGAAAAATGGCACTATCACGTGATGTCAAGCATTAAATTAGCCAATAATGAATCACGAATTAGTGTACCATAACACGATTAGGAAATTCAAAATAAACGTTCATTTTGTCAAAAATTGCATATTTCTCAAAAATTCGCTTAAGAAACCACCTTCTACACATTGACAAAAAGTTTTCTTTAAACGATTTTACCGTAGGAACTTCTGAATCCATAGCCTAACATAGACCCTAATCCAGACCTAACTGAACTTTAAGGAATTTTATCGATTATCATAGTGACATTTCAGGCGATGCTGGAAATTGGTCAATAACTCAAAATTCACAATTCACAACGATAATTTATGATTTGTCGCATACATCTTCACAGCATAATCTGGGGTAGTTAATGATCAAACCACTGATCACGGGACCTTCGAACCTGATATGTATTCACTTTTTTTATTTTTTTTTGATGCTGCATTAACCCTTCTCAATTTCAGGTTTTCTTCAATTGTTATCTACATTAGGGGCCTGCAAATTGCCTATTTTTGAGGCCCGACCCGGCCCGCATTTAGGGTTAAAATTTTTTTTCTGGCCCAGCCCGCAAAAATTTGCGGGCCGGGCCGGGCTGCGGGACCCAATGCAGGCCTCTAATCTACATACAACATATTGCGAGCATCAACTTTCACTGAAGAACGATTTTCATTGTGACAATAATAAGTATAACCATTATTAATTGAAAATTTAAAATATCCATTTATCTCATTAAGCAATTAATTAAATTATACATATCTGTTTCGTGTGCTCGTTCGCACGATATATTATCTGCATGTTCGATTAGGGTTAATGCAGCACTTTTGAATCTAACCGGATTGCTTCCAGCATATCCTTACTTAGTAATCGCATTGTTGACTTATGTCAACTTGAATATATTCGATTCCAAACTCTTGAAAAATACATGCCATAGAAGTTTGTTGTAAACATTTTTAATAGCGGTTTGTGATGTAGGTGGCCTATTATATTGCCGTTTAATGTAACAGTTTGTTGTATAACAATTTTGTTATATTTTAATAATCTTATAATTTTATAATAATTGTTTTGTAATGACTATGTAATGGTCGTATAATGGTTTTGAATATTCGAATTAATTCAAATTCATACTTAATACGAATTGATTCGAATATTCAGTTATTCGAATATTCGATTTCAACATATACACCAGAATCCGTTCCAATCGCTAAATTTCGATAATTATCTGATGAAAACGAGCGGACCATGATTTTTTAAGTCATTAAAATGATTAATTGAATGAATGAACGAATGAATGAATGAATGGGGTTTACCATAAAAAGCAGCACAGTTAATCTTGTTTGCTCCGGTAAATTGACCTTTTTCTATCAAAATAGGTTTCTCAAACGATTTGTTTTTATCAACGACCTCTTTTTGTTTTGCTATAAGATCGATCCACCTTTTACGACTTACCATTGTCAATGCGTATAAATTTTCTGTAAAACCTTTTTTTCCAAGACAACTAATAGTTATTGGATATCTATTATTACTACTTCCACGGTTGGTAGTCGGTGACTTTCCCGGCAAGATTGATTGTGTTCGCTTCGAGTTGCAACGATTGCTTTCAGAATCACTCTCTTCTGTAGAAACTTTCAATAATTCAATAGGAATTGGCTATAAAAGATATAAAAATATTGTGTTAAAAAGTGCATAAGTTCAAAAAGCGTAAAAATTTTAATCAATTAAAAGATTTACCCTACGATAAATTTTATATTGTTCAACTTTATTTATGATTTTAACTTTCACCATTAATAAAGCATGGTCAAATAGAAATACTTGTAGGTCAGATGATTCATTAGATCTTTTTAAGGAGCCTTTGAATATAAGCTGACGTCCTTCCTCCGTTAATTTCAAATCCTATAAAATTATTTATCAATTTATCAACTTTAGAATGTAATTAAAGAATGAAAACGTGTAAAAGCTATTTAAAGGATTACATACAAAATCTTCACTCCCATTAGAAATTAATTGATCATTTAATTGTTGCAGATTGAATCGATTTTCTGATTTTCCAGACTCCGTGTTAACATTCGATAAACATTCTTTAATGAGACTTATTACCTTTGGCAAGCTTGTCTTATCTGGATGACTTTGGGGAGTTTGTCTGAGAATAGCCTCGAGAAGTAGTGGATATCTACCAAGACGTGTTGTAGGCTTTGTTAGATATCCATTAAGTTCTAATTTTCTCGATTTTGGAAGACGTTCAGTATCCTGAAATAAATATTGTGTTAAAGGCTTTATATCAATAAGGGGTATAATTCTTTATTGTTACCTCAACGAATTCTGCAAATGCTGGATTGGTGTTTTTTTCATTTTCAAAATAATATTTCCCCCATAATTGGTGTGCACCATATTCTATAAAAGGACTAAATTTTGGAACATATTCTAATAATATATCCCCAATTTGTCTAACAATTGCATATGAATTTTGCCGTTTTTGGAGTGCATCGCCAAGTTTAGAATTGATTGAATAAATATCCATTATATTATGAAAAACGTCAGCTACAAATTTCTCACGCCGAAATTCAGGAATTATATTTTGAGATAAGAGAGGTATCATCCAACACTAAAGACCATCATACATAGATACATGGAGTTTAACTTAAAATAAAGCATAAAATCTAAACACTGAATAGAACATACATCTCTTAAATACACTAAATCATGAACAAAATCTTTTTCAGTATAAATTAATTCGTTTATGGCTTCTTGACGCTTCTTTTCAGCCTCAGAAACAGAATTAGCGATTTCAGGAGGAACGGTATGTATCCATAATTTTTGATCCTTTATATAATATATTTAAAAAAAGGTTAATATACGTATATATTTTTTTTAAAAAAAGTCAATAGCAAAGTATAGACAATCCTGAAAAACATAAATACCTTTCTTCTATCAGCTATAGATCCACGACTGGTTGAGCGACTAAGGTCTGGATTTGGTCTCATATGTTTTCTTGCATGCTATATCCATATTATTAGAAAGTTCAAAACCACGCAAGCTAAAATTACAATTTGATCATGTGAAATATCATATAAATACTTACCTGTTCCAACCTTCTAGGACAGGCAATGCTGTAGCATAAATTATCCCTTGTACATGTAGGAGAGTAACAGTCGGTTAATAATGTAAATACTCCAGTTGGTAGGTCAGTTTCTTCAGAGTCATCGTTATCATTTTTTTTAAAGCCATAATTATCGGATGATGATAAAATTGAAGGCATTTTTCTAAATTGATATAATTCATTCTGTGAATCACGAAGTCGATGATCGTACGTTACATCATGAAAAAATTTTTGAGCATCTAAAGCACGACCGAGTAATAAAGCTAAATTCCTATCAGTAGTCTTGATAATAAAGGCGATTTTATCCTTTGAAATAGAAATCAGAGTAATAAGCTTAGAATTGAAAAATACAAGCTTAGAATTTAACGAGTGATTCAATATAAATTATAAATCAAGTAATACCACGGCCTCCCTTCCATCAAAACAATCTTTATATTCAAGATTGTCTTTCATTCTATTTGAAAGAGTAATCCGGGCTCGAAATGATTCTGATACTCTTGAGAGTAGAGCAGGATTAACAACAGAAAATTGCTGTTTTACCACTTTTGAAGGCGACGAAGGAGCACTCGATATTTCAGAACCAGAGGATAATGTTGATGAGCGATGATTACGATAATTTTTTGATCTAGAACCCTCCCGAACGTCTTCTGAATCAGAATAAAAATGTATTGAAGTAGTACCTATTAAAAATTGATAATATTTGTAAGCTTATCTAGATATACATATATAATATCTTAAAGTATATCATAATAAATATGACCAACAACACAAAAAATCATAATGTTGGAATAAGGGACAAATTTGAACTATTCACAAAAATCAATTATCTCGCGAACTATTAATCTGATACCATTCAATTCGACTCATTAAGACGAATCGAATAATACCAAATTTATGTGACTCTGACCAATAGTTCACGAGATAATTGATTTTTTGTGAATATCAAACTCGTCCCTTGCACAGCACCAAACCCATTTGTAAGAAAAGCACAAAAGAAAATAAAGTAAAACATACCATTAATTGTCATTGACCTTCTAGAGGTAGAAGTTTTACGATGAACGTATGATTGCTGTGGATCTGGATATAGGAATTCTGTTTGATAAATTGCAACGGTTTGTCTATATGCAGTATCAGGTTGAGATTTAGGAATCCTTTGGAGGTAAGCCAATCTTGGATTCTGATCGAGAGAATTGACCCTACTTAAACTATTCCTTTGACCAAAAGTTACAGGATTTGATACAGTAGAACTTAACGGATATTGCGATTGACAGCCATTTTCGAATAGTTTCACAGTCTCTTCGTCTGAAGACTTTACCCTTCTAGGCTTTGTTGTAGGAGGTGCCCTATATGCAGCATAATTCTCAAAGATTGTTGTCTCCCCTCTATACGAGCCTTCTTGGCGACCATTCTTTTTAGGTTCATATGAAACCATGTTCGATAGTGTAGTTGTCGGTTACCATGTGTTTACACAGATTTCAAATCATGTGTATTTCATGTGCTTGTACAAAATTTTATTGGTTTTTTTTTTGTGTTTCTTCCCTCTAAAAAACGGTTACTTTATGATTTCCCAAGTCATTTTCTCGAAAGGCCAGCATTGAACTAATACCGTGATAGTGGCTAATTTTGTCGGGATTATGCCCTTTCGAAAAAATGATTTTTGGAAACTTGAGTTAGTCTCGTGAACCTGTCTTTATTTTCTTGTTTAAAGTGATCCTAGCGCTGACGATTGTACAATATGTAGTAATGATGCTTACTTATCTACAAGTAATCCTTACAAACACAATCAAACAAAATCAATATCTCTTTAATCAATGAATTTCAATTTCACCTAAAATCGTTCATGAAACTTTGAAGAAATTTGGTAGCCACTTATCGCTGGCAGGAGCACACGAAGTTGACCAAAGATGGGGTATTTATTTATGTAACACATTGTAAAAGTAATGCAATTAATATTGCAGGTGTTGACTAGTCACGAATCGATTTGAGATCTGTGATAAAGAAGCAGCAAATATTGTTGGTTACTTGAAGATTACTGTAACATGGAGAAGCATCCTAATTCTCGGGAATTCATAGTGAAACCAATGGAATGGTTTTTCATTATTTGTTTTGAATTTGTGTTACGTATCATCACCGGTAAGACAATTTATCGCACCCATTGTCTTTTCACGTGATGATGATTCTGTGAATTAAAAATGTGAATCTATTTGGACATTTTTTTAGTCGCGAGAGACTGGATTTGTCGTGAGCAAGATATTCCCGAATTTATTTTATATTTAAATAGTACCGATATGGTTAATTTTAAATTATTACATAATTACTAATGGATACTTCACATCACAAAGAATTAGTGCTTGATGATCGATGAACCCTTATTTCACGTTATATATGATTTTGAAGTAACCATGAATGTTTAGATTTGGAATTGGTCGTAAAATATCTTTTAAACTAAAACTCGGCATCTCTTATAAGATGGGTTACCACTTTCATGAACCACAGAGGAAACAAAAAAGGAAGTTAAAAGCCTTTGCATTTATTTAATGGATTTATTTATCATTATCGTTATAAAAAAAAAAATTATGATGTTACAATCAAACATTTAAATTTGTCATTAACCTGATATTAATATTTGAATCATCCTGATCATGTTTATTTTTATGATATTGCGGCACAGTATCTTTGTGGTTTATATACTGTAATAATTTACGCAGAATCGGACTCACTAAGACTTTCGAAATGTTGTAATTGTTGGGAAACAAAATTTGATCTAGGAATACTACTAAGAATATTAGCGAATGGACTAAATTTACTTGAATGCATCAAACTTATGATGGAAGTCTTATGCAAAACAAGTATTTTCTTTTATTTTATGTATATGCAGGATGTTTATAATACAACTAAAGAATGGTTTATTTAAATGATAGCGTCCGCAGCCTCATATAATAAATAGTTGCAAATTACCTAAAATGTTTTATCATAGTGAGCATTTGAATTTTTATCGATCACCTCTACAGCTACGTTTCCTGGTTATTTGAAGTGAAAACGTGTTGAATTTGTTGAATCGCAATCATATTTCTGATGTCCAACGTGCTTAACTGTATTCGCATTTCTGATATCCAACCTGATTTAAAAAAAATTACAAATTTTAAGAGATGATAAATATGAGATTGATCTATGTTTCACATTAACACAGATTGATAGGATTGGGTTGTTTGTTCCGGCCAACATTATTAAAAATAGATAACTATTCAACTTGGGAATTATCGTGGAGCAAGTGATATTTTTCGACCACAAAAAGTAACGGAAGTGAACACTTCGATCACGAGGTACAAATCTGGCAAACCAGAAGGCAAAGAGTAATAACAAGACATTTAAAAAGTTTGATAGCAAATGTCGAAGAACCTGTAAAGAACAGGAACAAAAGCACTGCCAATAAGTCCTATATATTTGCGATTAATAAGTTTGCAACAATAAATGTATGAGATTCAAACCAAAGAGAATTAATTAAGACCCTATCTTTAAGATATAATTTTGATAGCAAAGATGTAATCTGAGGGAGATGGCAATTTATATAATCCACAGAATGGGAGGTTATGGTCCAATATAGATATAAATAAGGTCGAAGATTTCGAGGGAAAAAAAAATAAAAAATAAAAAAAAATCATTTTCTTCGTTGATCCGTCTCGTATTCTTGATCTTTTCGGGAATTTCACCTTTTTGATCTCATTAATAAACACAAGTTCTTAATCGCTAAATGACAATGATTCAAAGTAGAACCTGTAGCAATAGATGACAAATTATTTAAAAAACGCTGCAACGTGTCCATGTTGAATGAAATTAGCATTTTGTCTGTAAATTCGGTAATTGTATAGAAACTGGATCTCTCCAGCTCTAAATGAAATGACTATGAAATAATCATGAAATTTTCAATGTTCAATAGACAATGCGCCGGATGTAATACTGGATGGATTAATTATATAATTAATGAAATAAAAAACTGATATCCGGCACACAGCCATCATATACACAGCCACATTAAAAAATATAAAAATATTATTATATAAACTTTCAAATGGTAAACGCGCGTTCATTGATCGAGATCGAGTTGAGGATTTCTTGGATATTGTTTTTTTTTCTTTATTTTTTCGAGATACATTTGTGCATTCGTCAAGTGCACTGGCAACGAACAAATAAGAAGAATGTCCGTGAACAGATCGCGAAGAGACCTACTAAAAATATCCGCAAATAATTCTAGCTCGGCGACCCAATAGTTTTGTCTACATAACGGACATCGGTTTTCAAGTATCTCATGTCGCGCCCTCTTCGACTATGGTGTATATTTCGCGTTTCAAAAGACAAAACTCGCGAGCATGCCTCGTTCAACCGATCAAAATCATACCAATCATATGCAAAACAATCATGTGTAAGATAACGGCGCAGTATTCACTGCGTAAAATTCGCAAGAAAGAACAATTAAGCTTGAAATCCATACGTTAATATAATAATTATCATCATGTATCATAATTTCAATTTTGTTCCTCAACAAAAAACGCATGCATCATTTTTCTCACTTAAAACAACAATCACCTAATCCTCAATTCTTATAAACACCGCACTCAAACACACATACACACACACACCATATGACCTTTAAAAAACCATATTTATTTCCAAAAAAAAATTCCTTAAAAACAATAAGATTTCGAAACCTATAAAAAAAAAAAAAAACACCAAAAAAAACCAAAAAAAAATTTTACAAAAAAAAAAAAAAAAAAAAATAATATATATATATATATATAGAAAAAAAGAAACTTGAAAAAAACACCCAATAAAAAAACTGTACTGTACGTTTATAGCCGATAAATTGATTTTGCCCTTTGCGTTTTTTTTTTGGTTTTTTTTTTCTTTTTCTTTTTTAAGAAAATATTTTTCGAAGAACATTTACATTTTTTTTTTTTACGGAGTTTTTTTTTTTTTTTAGGATCCGTTGATCCTTAAGGTTCCGGTACTACCTAAGAAGAATTATAAACATAAAAATATTTTTTACCATATTTTTTTTTTTTTTTGTGGGGGTTTTGTCGATAGGAATTGGGTGGTTATTATTAAGCTATCTAGATATAAGTTAATTTTTTTTTAATAATATCTAGAATTATGTAAATTTCTTTCTTGCAACGAATAAAAAAAAAAAAAGTTTTTTTTTAAAAAAAGGAGAGTATTTACATTTAAAAATGAAACAATACTTTTTCTCCATGCAATCTAAATGTCTAAAATGATATATATGTTTACGTGTAATATGTACAAGAAAGAAAATGCGAAAAAATATAAAAAAAGAACGACATCAATTTGTATAATTGTCCATGATGCCAACGATAAAAATGGAAAGAAAAATTATGCGAAAATCGAGATGAAAAAGGAAAAAATAAACATATATATTAAGCGTAAGTTTCGATATCGAAATTAAACATAGAAAAAAGTGTTGTATCATATGCATGAGAAATTTACTTTAGGTTTTTCCTATAGAGTTCCTATCGTAAAATTTTCAGGACTTAAAAACCGTAAAAAATTTGTTGCATTATACTCGAATCCAGGCGAATAAAAACAATGTCATCCCAATGTATGCTAAGAGTCATTGAATCACGTGTTATTTAAACACTTCTGGAAGTGGGTGTTCCGTAAGGACCAAAGGAAAGTGCAGAATCTATAACATAGTACAAATCTGTCGTGATATCAAATTCATTAAATGTTGGCGATCGCATGGGAGATTCATCAGTAAATGTAAGGGTAGGTGATACGGGTGAAAGAGGATAGAAATCAGACGATTGTACTGACGAAGATTCACTTTCAAACGCAGTAAAGTTTTGTTGATCATAATAATGTCTACTGCAATTAATGCAAGTCGGAGAGAATGGAAATGAAAATTCTGAACAAGGTATTGTCAAAGCAGGCGATGGCAAAGATCCGAGAATTAATTCCTCGGATGATGGAATCCTAAGTTCGCCACATAACAATGAATCTGTCGATGAATTTCGAGACGATGATGGGCTAATATTAGGAATTTGTGAATAAGGAATGTAAGGAGCTTCCTGGATAAAACAATTTTCTTGCTTCATGTAGGATGGATCAAAAGATTGCGCATTCATGGTTGCATTGATAACAGAAAGATCGCGACCATCAAAGGCTGATGACGAACGTTCCAAGAAAGTCCTCGAATTAGAATCATTATTTACATCACGAGGAAAACCTTTCAAATCAGGAATAGACGATGATTGTAAAAGTTGGTTGTATTCAGATGCAACGCTATTCCCAAATTTGATAACGTTGTCATTAGATCTTTCATTGTCCTTGTGTTGCATAATTGTAATTTCATCGTTTGTATATTCATTAAAAGAAGGATGACGTTGTACTGGAAATTTATATTTAATTTCTGGTTGTACATTGGCAGCCATTCGAACATATAACTTTTCAGCATCACCTGAAAGTCGGGTATAAGCATCCTTAACATATTCAGGCTCTTGCCTCCAGGCAGCCGCTATCATCGGTGATAATTCTGTCATTGAAAGATGAAGACCTTTAGCCTTCAAAAATTGAACGTATTCATTTCTGTACATAATGAACGCATTTGGAAACCTCGCAAGCTTTGGTTTTGATGCAAGTTTAGCCACCATTTTTTGTAGTTGTACTTGAGGAGGGTAGGGAAGCGGTAAAGGTGGTAAAACACCACGCGGCTTGTTCATTAGAAGTTTTATCTTCTGTTGACCGCGTTGCATAGGACCATTCTTCTTCTGAGTATCAACACGCTTCCTTGATTGTCTTCTGGCCTGTGTCATCAACATATTGTCTAGAAGCTACCAAAAAAATCGTTACTCATAAAGAAGGTAAAGCTGGAGGATGAACAAAATTAAACACGTTAAAGTGCATAAGTTGTTCCCAACTCCCTTATATTCAAAAATCATGGATTGTTTGTTCATCAATTTGCACCACATATTTTTTTTAGAAATATCCGATATCTTGCATATGTGAAGAAAAATTTTATATACTAAGCTGCGTATGAACGGTAGTATCAGGTGTTTTTTTTTCAAGGTGACACTAGTAAATAAACAATACTATCTTTAGCATGGGGTTTATTTCTGGCACTTTTAGTATCTATTTTTAGTAATATTTTGTCGAACCTCAATCCGAGTCGGAGTCGTACCATCATTATACACAAAAAGTTAGTCGTGCGAGCTAAGGTTAAGCAACGGCGAAACCTTTTATGCTCATGAAAAATTTCGATAATTTCTGCATGTAAGAACACACTCTCATATATTATGTCGAACACATTCTTATTGTATCAAAAACACATCATTTTATGAAACTTACAGATCGATGTGCATTCATGTACGTGCATAAACCCGCTTTAACCATTGGTTTACGCATCAAGACCAAATCGGGAAGATAAAGAGGCGTACGATGAACTATACCATGATTAATTAAATGGTTTCGAATTTCCAAGGTTTAGGAGGCGTCAGAATGGCATTTACACATACTTCTAAATTAGTATAATTCGCCACCGAATTATCGGTTACCTATTATAAATTGCACGCATTTGATGTCTAACCATAAGGAAAACAATTGATGACAACTCATTCTTCAGAACAAAAAAAAAAAAAAGGTATTGCATACAAATAAACGCGAAAGCTATTTCTTTTTGGACCACCGATTTTTCTGCGAGTTATTAGAATAATAAATCTGTTAAGAAAGAATATGTAATCAGAAAGTGTAGTTGGGAGTCACCATGATAGAAATCACAAAGCCGTTCTAAAAAAAACCATCGAAAATGGAAAACGATTAAGTGAATGATTTAACACATTTAAACGGAATATAAATTGAATTACCGTAATTATTTTGCAATTGTCCGAAGGTGACTAAAACTAATTATTTATTTGTATGTTTGGTAATTTTTGATGGTACGTATTAGATTGTTAAATTTCATGATATCGAAATCAGGATTTACTGAAAAAGGAAGGTTGTTACTGTTAATTCTTCCACTATTTGTTTATTATTTTTATGACTTTCGTGACACTCATGATACCCATGTGTGATCGGAAATCATTATCGATACACGTCGAGGACCTGCCACATAAATTCACTAATTAATAATAATCGTTATGCAGAGATCTATCAAATCAAGACACCTTATTCTAATTATAGACATTGATTTGTAGGCATCCAGTCCACAATCGAACAACCACATTTGGATATCAGGTACCGGGACAGGTTACAAATGTGTCTATGAAAAAAGACTCCACAAATCTCTTGTTTGTTGTCGGACCTTACTCGTCATCCAGATACAGAATTCCTTTCTGGGTAGACAGTGCATTTCCGCATGTTATGCTTATTTCTGTTACGCAATAGTGTAACTTTTAAACCTGATAGTATTAAACGTTTTCGTTTAGAGGACAATACTTGTTTCTTATGTGTTGACTAGGCAGGAACTTGTGATGAATGTCTCAAAATAATAATCGATCTGAGATAAACAAAAACATTTAATTATATAACTAGATTCTTGGCGGTTTATCCAGTTTACGCCAGACATGCATAAACATACATTATACAAACATTCTTTACGCCAAGTCCTATTGTTTTACGGTTTACAAGAGCAAATAACTTTAACCATGAAAATTATTGCGTGGCAACATTATTTGACCACATATATATATTACAAGACGTTGAATTGGTATTTTTCAAAAAAAGACAAAAAACTCTATCGTTAAAAACTTTATTACCTACTCAAAAAATTTTTTAGGTGTCAAGCTATGTGTGCGTACTACCTAATATTAGACGATAATCATTATACATATCCTCACTTGATGGATTTACTGTTTATTCATAATTGAATTATGCATCAGATCTTCAAAAATAATCCCTAAGAAATTAAACTTCGTTGTTTCTTAAAAAAAAAAAAATAGTTAAAATTAACTTATGAAATTTCGTTGTTTCTTAAAAAAAAAACAGTTAAAAATTAATGATTGAAATATTCATGTTGAAAAACGTTGTTCATAAAGCTCTGAATTTTTATAAGGAGTATTCCTTAAACAGCAATATCTGAAATTAAGCATTACACCAATTTGGTATTTTTTACTGGACCGTTCAAAACTATCAACTTTAATTGGATCGTTTAATATTAGTTTTTTATGCAAATTCAAGTCTAGGCTTTTGTACTCTTTATCTACTATATAAACATTTTATTTCTATGCAAATTGCATTAAATTGCATTGTAATATTATTTATTTATTTATTTGATTATTTATTAATTATAATTAATTTGTTTTTTAATGTAATACAAATGCAATAATATTAATAGTAGCAAAAATTATATATTTTTACACAAATTAAATATAGAATTCTATATATTTTTAGAATTTTAAAGTGTTAAATTATTTATAAATTTAAAATTCTAATTAAACCAATATATTAAAAAGATTATATTAAAATTAATTAAATATAAAATAATAAATATAAATCAGATACTAAAAAATATAGTAAGTAATTTAAAATTTTAGCTATTTAAACAAATTAAATACTATATAGGTTAAGTATTACAAAAAAGAAATAAATTAACAAAAGATCTTTAAAAAATTAATTTTTATATTATATATTTTATAATAAGTTATAGAAAATTGCAAATTTTAAAAAGTTATATTGCAAAATAATTACTTTTATATTTTAAATAAAATATAATTCTAATTTTATTTTAAACTAATTAATATAAAAAAATTATTTTAAAATTTTATTAAGTTTTTTGTAATATTTAGTCTATATATAGTTAGTTTTTTTAAATTGTAAATTAATAACTAAAATATTTTATATTAAAAAAAATCGTAATTAAAAAAACTAAATTAATATAAAAAACTGTTAATACTACTTTTTACTTTTGTTAATATTATTTTTTATATAAGTTTGCTAGTTTAAAACTATAAAAATTTTATAAACAATATTTAAAAACAGTACAAATTTATATAAATAATTTGTTCACAATTAGAGTAAGCATTGTTATAAAAATTTTAAAAAGTTAAAACTAATTAAAATTATATAAAAAGTTATATTAACAAAAATAAAAAAATAATATTTTTTTTTGAACTTTGGCAACAATGTCAGTTAGTTTATTAAGCTTTAATTTTAATATAGTACAGGTTTTTACAGTTATATATTTAGAATTGATTATACTAGTACTATATTTGTTATTTAATATTACATTACTGACTTCACTCAGTTATTTATATAGTATCTAAATGCATGTTCACTGCATGTTTGCATGCAGTTATCTTGGCAACTACTTGCAGTCTGGACATATTATTAAACTACTATATAGACAAGAATATCTATCAAACTTAATATAATATTCTATATATCAAAAATATTATCTTTTGTAATCATATCAATATGTCTTATTTATATGTTTTACCTAGTCTTGTTTCTTCTGTTTTCTAATTTAACTATATTTAGTAATACCTTGTTTCTCATATTTTTTATTTTTTTGTTATTGTATTATTCTCAAATTGGTTTTACTTGAATATGTTTAATTTTTTTAATTTTCTATCTTTTATATACCTGTTATTGATTTCTTTAAAATGTTTTAATAGTAATCTAAGATTTATAATAAACCTATATCTCAAGTTAGACCTGTTATTATCATTAATCTTTTGATTAATTTGTATCTTAAGTCAGGTCTGCTACTATTATTTTTGCAAATGTTTTAGGTCTTAGTATTATATAATAACTCAGTTGCATTTAACTTTTAATAAGGTGTTCCTTTCTATAATAGAGACTAGAACTTATTACACTTACAAACAGATCAATTCTGATTATATTTAGAAAGTTTCTTTAACCTTAGTGATACTATACTATTATATATTGCAAACTTCTAATTTATTTAATAATATTTGCAAAACAATTCTGATTATGTTTAAGGAATTATACTAATTCCAATAATGCCATACTACCTTGCAGATCTTATCTCATATTGATTAGTTAATTTTAGTCTTGTTTATTATAGACTTAAAATGATATTATCAAGTTTTTAAATATATAATTAATTTTTTAAATACTAATTAATAAGGATTAATTATAGTTAGATAAAATTTTGAAAAATTGTAAAAAAATTTTTTTATATTTTAATAATTAGATAAGTTTTTACAAAAAAAATTTACAAAAATTTTACAAAATTTATATATATAATTTTTTTAAAAAAAGCTAATCAGTTAGTTAATTAGTTGAGTTTATTTAAAAGTTTTATGTCATAAAACCAAAAAATTAAATTTATGTAGTCTAAATTAAAAATATTTTTATATAAAAAACTTGTAATTATATAAATTAATTTAATTGTTAGTAAATATTTTGTATCTAAAAAAAATAATTATATATATATTAGTTAAAAAATCTTATATTTATAAAATATAAAACTTGTAATTATTTATTTTTATTTAGTTTTATTTTTTTTATTTAAGTAGCTATACTAATAGTTTTTATTAAATAAATATTAACATTATTACTAATAATATAAGCTTGATTTTTAAGTTTTAGCTCTTCTGACTGCTTTTATAAATGCTTAAAAGTAATTTATTATATTAAATTATAATAAGTTACTACTTGAAAGACTATTTTTAACTGTTACTTTACAATAGAATATTACTAATCTAATAATACTTTCTTGTAAAAAAATAAAAAAAATAAAAAAAATTAATCTAAACTAAACTAAAAAGATTATAGTAAATAAAAAAAATAAAAATATTACTTATATTTTTATAACTGTTTTAGTAATGTTATTAAAACTTTAATTTGTGTTAAAAATCTA